AGATTGTTGTACATGAAAAAATTAAAACATCCCCTGAAAATAAGCCCTAATGCGTTTTTTGGAGCAAAAACTAATATAAGACCCTGTCTTATTTTTGGGGAAACACGGTAGCTGAAATGTAATAGACATGGTACAAAAGGTAAATGGGTGTAGGCACCAAAAACATGTGGGCACCAACAAGAATTGGTGCCCACATGTTTGCTCTCATAATGAAACTTTTAAGGGAGCGGAGAGGCAAAATAATGGCTGGTCTCTCAGCCTCTGTGCTCTAGCCAAATGGATCAGCTTCTGACACATGACAGCGCGGGGAGAACAGGGGCCCGCTGGTGGTGGGTCCAAGCCAATGGAGGGAGCCGTGCCCTCTTGGACCTCTCTTAACAGCCACCAGATTAAATGCAAAGAAGTGGCACCTCCCAGTGTGTGATGTGCTGTGGAAGGGACCTGTCCCCTGGCTGAGTGGAGGCCGACCCTGCAGGTCCTGTTAAAACCAGCTCCCGGTGATCGGGAGGGGAGGGGCTAAGAGTGGCTGCCACCTTCCCTTCTGTCTCTGGATTCTCATGGCCTCACTCCTCTTCCTTTTACACAGGGAGTGTGTGGAATGTAAGAAGTTTGACAGGGGAACCCTGAAGGAGCAAGATACCTGCAACCGCAACTGCCGGGATGAGATTGAGTTGGTGCAGGAGCTTGGTGCGTAAGAAACATGGGACTTCTTGCAAGAACTGCAAGGTTGCTCATTATCATCCTCATTGTTCTATTTTGACTGCTGTGTAGACCTCTCCCTATTATTCAGGGTAACTGGTGGATTCTTTTTTAACTACCTTGATAGAGATCAGGTCCTCCTTAGTCATTGACAAATCACCCAGGTCTCGGTTGGGGGATAGCCTTCTTTTCACCTGCTCAATCTGTTGCCTGATTCAGCTACAATGTGTGAATCAATGGGAAGACAATAATATACGTTTAATGGAAATCCCAATGTAATGTAGAGTACATTATAGGAAGAAGAAGTGAAGTGACCAGAACTCAGATAAGTGGAAGGATCATCCTTGTCTGAGAGCACCATTGTGAGTATGCTAGTCTAAGCAGAGAACTCCCAATAACAAAGCTGCATAGAAGAATATCCCCAGCATCTGTTTCATCATAGGTGTTTTGTGGGAAGAAACGTTCATTGGTTGTTTACCATTGCCGCCCCCTCTGCAGTACTATCAAAAATTAACCCAAGTGTCATCTCCATTGCCTCTTCCACAAGTGTCACTTCCATCTACTCCTGCTGCGCAGGAGCTGCTGCCCCCATCACCATTAGAACTATTTATTTTCATCTGCTGATGCAGCTGTTCCTCGGGAAGACAGTAGATGCATCTTAGTCTAGTGTCTCAGCTGTGAACATTCTACCCTGGGTAATCCTGCTAGGAGTCCAGACTCATAATGGAATCTGGCCTCCTGACAGCATTGTTCTCAAACCCCTTCACATGGAGATGAGACCATGTTATGGTGTGCATTCAAGAATGGGGTGTAAGGATAAATCACTGGACACCAAGGCCAAGATCATCCATACTCTTGCATTCCTATGTGCCACTACGAAAGCTGGACAGTAAAGAAAGTTGACAGTGAAAAATTAAATTTATTTGAAATATAGTGTTGGAGGAGAGCTTTGCAGATATCATGGACTGCCAGAAAGATAAATAAGTGGGTCCTAGATCAAA